CAAAATATACAAGCCCCATGTAGTGGATAAAGTGTGTTTAGACATGGGATCTGTGTGTGTTTGTGTAGTGGATGCAGTGTGTGTTTGTGTAGTGTATGTATATAATGAATGCAGAGTGTGTGTGTAGTGTGTATAGTGAATGCAGTGAGTGTTTGTGTAGTGTGTGTGTGTGTGTGTGAATATAATGCAGTGTTTGTGTAGCGTGTGTGTGTATATAATGTAGTTTTTGTGTGTAGTGTGTGAATATAATGCAGTGTGTGTGTGTGTATATAATGCAGTTTGTGTTTGTGTAGTGTTTGTGTAGTGATGTAATTTGTGTAAAATGGAGGGGGGGGGGCATTTTTTTTATTTTATCTAATATTTTAAATGTTATTGTTTTTGTTTGTTTAGTCCCCCCTCCCTGCTTCTTACCAGGGAGGGGGAAATAGTATTCCCTGGTGGTCCGGTGGCTTGTTAAGTACTGGGGGGGTTACTTACCTTTCTTGCAGCTCCTCCAGCTCCCCTGTGGAAATCTTGCGGCCCTTAGTGCCACGGGTCTTGGGCATAACCCAAATAATTTATTCAAAGAAAGAGTACCTTAAGCGGGTATATCCATATACCAGGTTAAGGTACTCTATTTCTTTGAACACGTTATATTCGTTAAGTTCTTAGGCTATACTTTCTGATACATACTTCAGGTCCTTCTAGCGAAGGACGCACAGTGGAAACTCATACATAGATTAGTTCAATCAGGTATTACTTTCCTAACCCATATTGTATAATATGACTCGCGTAAGGAATTAGGAGAGGTTATTTCAATAACTAGTAACCCTGCTAGACCTTTGTACTCTGGCCAAGCAGCAGAATTCTGCCAGCCCAGTTACATGCAATCCTGGACCATTCCAGATTGCTGCCATACTCATACAGCACCGAAGTTGAGGTGTATAGACTTATGATTGCCAAAACCCCCCAGCCCAGTATCAGCACCGAACAAGTGTACTCAGTCAACATGGCAGAGATGAAGGCTATGATAACATCAATCTTTTTCATCATGTATATGTTCTATGATGGAATGGACAATTAGTGTCCTCACATTGAGTAACCTACTTTGTACCTCTTACTTTCAATGACCCAGAGTAACATCACCGATTGCAGTCCAGCACATGTTCCCTCTTCTCACGTTATTACACCGGCATATTTAGTTTTCCCGACCATTAGGGGATCATAGTTGGTCTCCTCGATTACCATCCAAGAACTCGACGATAATTATCGGCTCCTTTTAGTCTAACTTCACTCATTCATTCCGAAGAGTTCCCTGCACTATGCCTCACTGGACAATGCTGTTGGGCAGTCTTAAAGCAGCTAGGCTCAGGAAAGCTCCAATGCCTTCAGCTTGGTCCCAATACATTTGTCCCTGTGTCATTTGCACGATATTAAAGGGAAGGAGCTATACAATTTGCCACCCATGTTGTGACCGAGGTCAAGAGCAACCCTAAACTGTTCAAGTTTGCGAAGGCCCTCTCTTGGTTCCTCTTTAACGTCTCTAGCAGCATGTAATAATACGTTATCTAGAAATGTCCTACTGTAGAGGAACCTAATACTATACCCTAGAACAGAGCTTTCCAAACTTTCCAGTCTCTCCTTGGTTCTCTGACCTTTGCCATGCGCATTATACCACTGGTCGCTTCTTCATTTCCCAACTGCTCTGCCTACTCCATGGATTTCCTACCGACAGTAGCAACACCCATACAATCATTTCAGCCGCCTTGGTCAGTATGGTGTAGTTGGTACTCTTCTAAGCAGAGTAAGCGAGGGGTTACACCTCTGAATTACCACTTTATTTAAGGGAACTATGGGCACACTTACGAACATGTACGTAGTGTTGATGGAGCGCTATAGTGCAAATGAATGTGGTTGTATCACTTTAAATCAATATAAAATTGTTACACACATTAATACTTTACACATTGTTCAATTCTTGTTCTAGTGTTGCTGATAGTTCAAAAACTAAAAGTTTTATAAAGGATAATAGTGCAGAAAGTCTGAGATAAATAGGGAATCTTTTAAAAAAATTAAATCCTAACTCACAAGAGTGAAGCCAATGTTGTGGCTCAGTTTCTTAAGCCTTGAAGTCCTTAATAGGGTTACTCCTTTCCTTCCTCAACAAAACTCTTCCTTTTACAGCAGTAATGACATGTAATAAAGATGTACATAAAGTGCAATATATGCAGATAAAAATAAAGTAACGGCAGTATTACACACATGAATAAGTTTGTGGGTTTTTTTTTTTTTTTTAAATAGGCTCTATTTTTTTGAGCAGTCATCTTTGAGGGCAACGCTACCCCTTGATGGTAAAAACAATCCTTGAGAGAGTAGTAATAATTAGTTTTTATTTGAACAAAATATTTTCAAAACAACTTTTTGAATAGATAAAACACGTATCACCTTGATTGTCTTCCTGCGTCATTCCTGGTTTTGGAAGCAAATTCCAAAGCGTCAGATTAAATGGTTATGTTCTAAGACTAAATAACTGCCAGGGGTGTTTTGCATGAAAAGGAAACTGCATCCCCCACCTTTAGAAAGGGCTTGGTGCCTGGCTGAGACCCAAGTAAGAGGGCAAACCATTTCAGTTTAAATTATTTGAAGATATTTTGTTTAACCACTTGTGTTAAGCATACACTGATCAGCCATCACATTAAAACCACCTGCCTAATATCATGTAGGTCCCGTTTGTGCTGCCAAAATGGCTCTGATGTGTCGAGGCATGGACTTCACAATACCTCTAAATATGTCCTATGGTTTTTGGCACCAAGACATTGGCAGCAGATCCTTTAAGTTCTGCAAATTGCAAGATGTTGACTCCATGGATCAGATCCAGTACATCTCACAGATGCTCAGTCGGATTGAGTTTTGAAGAATTTGGAGGCCAAGGCAACACCTTAAACTTTTTCATGTTCCTCAAACAATTCATGAATCATTTTTGCAGTGTGAAAGCGTGCATTATCCTGCTGAAAGGTCACTGCCATTAGGGAACACCATTGCAATGAAGTACCATCTCCAGATAGATGGTACGTCTCAAAATAACATCCACCCACACCCAGTATATACACCACTAAACATCGGATCACACCTTTTCCATATCCAGCTACTCAAGAGCAAACGCCTGACACAGGAGTCCCAAATAAATAATTCCATACTTACCCATATTTAACACTTGATTGAATACTACCAATTTGCTGTTAATTATGCTTGTTTAATGCAAGATGTTCTTTTGTTCTTTCATGTCATATTTTCGCATCTCTGCTTGCAAATGTACACAAATTGGTATGAATAAAAATAAAAGGAACATCCACATGAATTCCAGGACCCAACGTTTCCCAGCAGAACTTTGCCAAGAGCATAACACTGACTCTGTCAACCTGCCTTTTTCCAATAGTGCATTCTGCTGCCATCTTTTCTGCTGGTAAAAAACGCACCCAGCACCCAATCCACTTGATCTTAAAGAAAATGTGATGCATCAGGCAAACTTCTACCATGGTGCAGTTCTGACGATCATGTCCACTGAAGGCACTTTTGGTGGTGGACAGGTCTCAGACTACACAGTCCCACACCCAGCAAACCGCAATGCACTGTGTGTTCTGACACCTTTCTATCCTGGTCAGCATTCCATTTTTCAGCAATTTGAGCTACAGTAGCTCATCTCTGTGATAGGATCAAATGGGCTAGCTAGCCTTTGCTCTCCACGTGCATTAATGATCTTTGGGTGCCCATGACCCTGACAAATGTCCTTCCTTGCACCACTTTTTGTAGGTACTAACCATACTGGGGACTACCCACAAGACTTGCTATTTTGGAGATACTCTGCCCCTGTCATCTAGCCATCACTATTTAGCCCTTGCCTAAGTCACCCAGATCTTTTCGCTTGCCTATTTTACCTGCTTCAAACACATGAAATTCAAGCACTGACTGTTTACTTGCTGCCTCACATATCCCACCCCTTGACAGGTGCAATGACTGAACATCTGTAGGCTATGGTTTTATGAAACTGTATGATCTTTTTGCATTCACATAGCTCAATAGGGATGCAAGACTTTGTTTCTGAGTACAGTATCTTCTTGTACAAATACGCATTACATTCGCCAGTGAAAACATATTTCGGCAATCAGGTTTAAAAAAAATTGAAGTGTGCATTAGATTTGAGCAAATACGGTACAGAACTGTTGAACTAATCTGAAAAGTTTACCTGGTTGCAAATATTAAAATTATAACAACCAGTAAGAATGAGTATTTATGTTTAAACATCATGATGTAAATAGAGTTTTACTGACTAGTGATTTAAATAGACTTAATTTACATTTAAACCATCCTGGTTGTTGTTTAAAAATAATAAAATAGAAAGATAGACAGGAGATATTGATATATGTATAGATAAAAGCAGACACATAATATAACAGATGTTATACCTTTTAAAACATGTAAATAATGCAAGAGGTGTGTTGTTGTTTTAAGGGTAACTAGATGAGAAATTGTGGCTCACTCTGAATGCCTCTTACAAAGTACAGTTTATAAAAGAGCTCCTCCTAGTGAACACTTAGAAACTTGAGGATAAAGAACAATTTCACTACTAACATCTTTGATCACTTTAGAAAAAGAACCCTTACGTCTAATAGGAATGGAGAATTAGGTAGAGACTAATTTTAATTTTGGTTAAATCTGGGTTCACGGAATATAGACCAACAGCTTTATATAAGGTTTACGCACTCACCTTATTATAGGTTTATCAGTTTGCATCAATGAGAAGGTGTAACTAATAAAACAGCCACTAAATAGAATACACAACTTGTGAAAATGCTAATTACTTCTTTGTATCCATTAAATGTAAGTTGAAAGAGATCCCTATCGAAATGAAAAGTTTGCTTACAGGGTGTATTGGTGTTAGGAGTGTATATTACAAAGCATCTATTTTGTGTTACTCTATTGATATATAAAAACCATTATCAACCGATACACAAAACACAAGACAGTGTAATTGGAGATTTTCATATTATGAGGTTTATTTCAACATCATCAGTTTATTCAAATCTTCAAAATAGTTTTTAAATCTACATTTGTTTTAGTATAAAATCAAAATCCACAAGTGCACCACAGTGTATTAAAGACATTGAATGCTAAACTTCCTTAGTAAGTCAGTCATAAGAGCCTATAAAACAGTATGGAGAGAGACAGGACTTATTTAACAGAAGTAACATTTCTTTACTGTACTAGATATGGTAACCATTCCTTTCATGTGAACCAGAACTGGAATTATTCCCAGTACAGCTCAAGACTATTCACTGTATACTGCATAAGTACAACTAAAACTAAATGATGTCTTGCATAACAAAATAAGTTGGGTTTTTTTTTGTAACATGTTTGCTACAACAGAGACCTGGAGAACATTTCACTATGGGTTACTTGAGCAGCAAACTGATCACTCACATAAAACATCTTCAAACACAACTGAATCCCTGAATTATTCTTCTCGTAGGCTAGTGATTCTGGAAATAACTTCACCTCTTTCACTGGAGTTCAGCTGTTTCTAAAAAGAAACCACTAGTATAGCTGTATTTAAACAACCAACATATGCTGTCCTTCATACTGCAACCATTCAAGCTTGTTGGCTCAATATATGCAAGGTATAAATGAAATACAGATTGGAAAATTGGCTTCACTGGGGAGTAACAAGAGTTTTTATATTATTTTTTTCTGTAATGGCCCTAATCTGTTTTGAGGCTTACCCCAATGCTATGGAGTCTTGCAAACCTTCAGGCATAATATTTTAATTCTATCTTAAAAACAAAAAAGCAGAATAGTTGAATTTTTTTCCAATATATGTTTATTCATCAAAACAAAGTCATTGTAACGCACATATTTACTGAAGATGTAATTATTGGCCTAAATTTGATTGACTATGGTACCACTAGCAAACACTGATGACACTGCACCCCAGGGCCGATGATTACCTTCTAAAAGGCTATAGGCATAGATGTTAATCTGTTTATCCTCTTGCCCTGTTGTAGATCTTTCTGATGAATTAGAATAACTTTCACTATAACCACTGGGAATACAGTTAATTAACTAAACACTGAATTAAAACCCAAATTGCTAAATTGAGGCAAAAACAGTCAAACTGTGACTACAGCAAATGTTTTATAAACAAATTGTTGTTGCCTAAATTTTGCAATTACATTTTCGATTCACTACAATTTAGTGTTTAGTGAATCAACCTCAATGTGTTTCAATAATTACAATAGCCCTAACATTGTATGTTTTTTACGCTAGATAGGGTTCATGAGAAAGAAATACAAGGAAACCTCTGTTTTTAAATCTCATAGCATAAAGCCACCCCCAAACTATAGCAGACAGTGTGCAGGCATGATTGATCTCCCAGGATTTGTTTTAAGCATCAAAACAGACGGACCATACAGAAATGTACATATATTTTAGGAGTAACAGCGATCACATGCAGCATTTGTGAAATGCGATGGCTGCCCCACCACATGCATTAACAAAATCTGGCCATTTTAGGTTTGTTTTTATACCAGGAAGCCTTATGGCCCAACATCACAATATGTGTGTGCATTGGAGTTTAGTGTAGATCATTAATTTCTCTTAAAACATATTGCTTCTTAACTTCAAAAGAAAACTTTTTTTATATGTACTTTTATATAAGAAATGTATTAGGGAAATAACCTTAAAAATACACATCTAGGTGGCTTTATATAATAATTTGGGTGCTGAAAAAAAAGATTTCAGAAACATCTCAATGTTGCTCAATGTTGGAAATTAGGGCTTTATTGCTGGGACTAGCACTTTGCTAAAAAAAAAAATGAACCAGTAATAAAAGAAATCATTCTTTCAGCATTCAGACAATGTGAAATTACTAGATTATTTTGAACAGTTTTGTTCCAGCACCCACATTTCAATAAACACCAAAGCCATGTGTCAATATCAAGCGTCTGCAAATGGCTTGAAGTGTTATTACAGAGGTAAAGAATATCATGAAGTTAAAACAAAAATATAAAGAGCAGATACAAGATGCATATATTTATAAATCAGAATATAGGGCAGAAAACAGAAATTGCCAGGACACATTTGGGATTCATGTTAAAAAGAACTCCCAAAGTTATATTTAAATGTTATGTGTATGCAAGTGAATCTTGCTTCCATTCTCTGAAAAACACATCGCACGTTCCTACTATAAACTGTCCTATAACAGTTTATAACAGTTTTTAAAGCACACACAAAAAAAAAAATCAAAAAAAAAAAATCACATTCAATCTGTTTCCTTGTGATTTCTCAATAATTACCCCCCAGATGCAGTTCCTTTTTTTTTTTTTTCTCCTTCTAAGGAGATCCAGGAAACCTAAAATTAACCTGTAAATATGTTTAATCTTCTTAACGAGTGAAAATGCGTGGGGGAAGTTAAGTTGTGGTATGAAGGGTTGCAAAGCATTTTTATTTCCTTCTTTTTAAAAAGGACCTTTTTTCCTACATTAGGAGTACAGACTGAACACTGGCAAGACACCCCACTAAATGTGTGTCTAAACAGCAATTCTGGGTTAATATTCTAAAGCTGAACATCGCAGGAAGTGCTCACGCAGTGAGATGTCATTCCTCATACAAAAGAATTAGCCCATTTTTTTTAATGTGTTTTTTTTACTTTTTTGTGGGTTTTTTTGCTTTATGTTCCCCCCCATTTCCATGCTTCTTCATTCCTTTCACCACATACTGTATCCTCCATCCGAACCGCCCATGAAGTAATTGCCTTTTCTCTGTGTGACTAAGACGTTGGCACCTTGCATGGCCGCAAGCTGAGCTGCATTGGGAGGGCAGCCAGGAGGAGGTGGCTGGAAAAGATAAGTGAAAATGTATTAAAGACAATGTCAGATTTTGTCCAATAACTCTTGCATGCACGAACAACAAAATTCAAGAACAATGGAAGAATACCATTATATTGGTAAATTAAGCATTGTTAAAAAGGTATTGTGCTTGAGAATGTTACACTCTCACCTGCACATATTGCTATTGGAATTAAGCAAATTTACCAATATAATTGTATTGAAGAAAGAGGAACTGTAATGTGATGAATAAATAACCCTCATGTTTAAGCATGGCTCAGTAAGAGTTTTTGCAGATAGATTGGGATATCCACATCACTTTAAATTGTTTTGCTACACCGCTCATCTCTTTTCTCAACTTTCCTGTTTTTCCCTCTATGCTATATTTTGTTTCTGGCATTTTAGTTGTTTGGTGCATACAGGTATATTTAGTTGTATCTTAAGTTGACTTCATATGCTGCAACCCTGGGATGAATAAACAAGTGACCTCATGGTGAATCCTAATATACGTAAACATAAAGCCAGGTTATGCCATATAGTTAAAAGCAAATTCACAAAATCAGGAATTAAGAATAGACAAGGAAATTGCAAATTATTGCTGTTAGCATGATGATAATTATCAAATGTAGATGGAGATTAGGTTGTTGGCAAGTAACACAACAGAGGCAAATGGGTATCTCTCCATCCAAATCAGTAACAGAGCTGGCACAATTGGCACCCACTCTAATCACCCCTTACCGGCACTCACGGCTAGCTCCTGCCACAGGGAATTCGCTGACAGCAGATCTAAAAGGTTAATTTGTTGCCATTTCCCTTTACCAACATCACCAAATGGGTTGCAAATTTGGCACCAATCCTGGTGCTTTAGCCCAATTAGAAAATAAGTTACACGACTCAGGATGTTTTATTTAAGGGGCCCTCCAGACGCTTAAATCATTTTAGCTTGTTAAAAAGCTTTACGTGCAAAGATTGCGTCCTAATTTTTTCATTTTGGAAAAAGTGCAGATTTCAATACAAATTTACGCTATAATACATTATACTGGTTACACCCTTGGCTTTCAAGCAGGCATTAGGTCCTGGTTTGGTTAGCTTATTTGCACAAGACTCAAGAGGCAGCAATTGCCCAGAGCACCTGCCTTGCAAAGACTTCTCATTACAAAGATCTGCAGTTTTTGCAAGCCATTTTTAGATATAACTTGAATTTAAAAATTAAATGTATGCAAATTTTCATTTGGGGTAGATCTACTAAACTGAATTTTATTTATTTTGTATTTGGGCAGTAGAGTGTCCCTTTAACATTACATTGCCATCATGTGTATGTGTCGATACAGGTGATACTCAAAAAATTAGAATATTGTGCAAAAGTTCATGTATTTCAGTAATGCAACGTAATATATGAGATAGACGCATTACATGCAAAGCAAGATGGTTCAAGCCGTGATTTGTCACGCGATGATTATGGCTTACAGCTCATGAAAACCCCAAATCCACAATCTCGGTAAATTAGAATATTACATGTAATCAATAAAACATGGAGTGAACAATATCGAACCTCTGAAAAGTATAAGCATGCATATGGACTCAGTACTTGGTTTGGGCCCCTTTTGCAGCAATTACTGCCTCAATGCGGCGTGGCATGGAAGCTATCAGCCTGTGGCACTGCTGAGGTGTTATGGAAGACCAGGATGCTTCAATAGCGGCCTTCAGCTCTTCTGCATTGTTCGGTCTCATCTTTCTCTTGGCAATGCCCCATAGATTCTCTATGGGGTTCAGGTCAGGCGAGTTTGCTGGCCAGTCAAGCATAGTAATGCCACGGTCATTGAATCAGGCTTTGGTGCTTTTGGCAGTGTGGGCAGGTGCCAAGTCCTGCTGGAAAATGAAGTCAGCATCCCCATAAAGCTTGTATGCGGAAGGAAGCATGAAGTGCTCCAAAATCTCCTGGTAGACGGCTGCGTTTACCCTGGCCTTAATGAAGCACAGTGGACCAAAACCAGCAGATGACATGGCTCCCCAAATCTACACAGACTGTGGAAATTTCACACTGGACTTCAAGCATCTTGCAGTGTGTGCCTCTCAATTCTTCCTCCAGACTCTGGGTCCTTGGTTTCCAAATGAGATACAAAAGGTGCTCTCATCAGAAAAGAGGACTTTGGACCAGTGAGCAACAGACCAGGTCTGTTTTTCTTTAGCCCAGGTAAGACGCTTCTGACGTTGTTTGCTGTTCAGGAGCGGCTTTACAAGAGGAATACGACATCTGAAGCCCATGTCCAGGATCCGTCTGTGTGTGGTGGCTCTTGATGCACTGACTCCAGCCTCAGTCCACTCCTTGTGAAAGTCCCCAACACTTTTGAATGGCCTTTTCCTGACAATCCTCTCCAGGCTGCGGTCATCCCTGCTGCTTGTACACCTTTTTCTTCCATTCATTTCCCTTCCACATAACTTTCTATTAATGTGCTTTGATACAGCACTTTTGGAACATCCAACTTTCTTCGCAATTACCTTTTGAGGCTTTCCCTCCTTATGGAGGGTGTCAATGATGGTTTTCTGCACAACTCTCAGGTCAGCAGTCTTCCTCATGATTGTAATTCCTACTGAACCAGACAGAGACCATTTAAAGGCTCAGAAACCTTTTGCAGGTGTTATGGCTTACTTAGCTGATTAGACACTGTGAGCCTAGAATATTGCACCTTTTCACAATATTCTAATTTACTGAGATTGTGGATTTGGGGTTTTCATGAGCTGTAAGCCATAATCATCGCACTTATGACTTGAACCATCTTGCTCTGCATGTAATGCATCTATCTCATATATTAGTTTCCCCTTTTACATTGCATTACTGAAATAAATGAACTTTTGCTTGATATTCTAATTTTTCGGGTATCACCTGTATATCAGCCTTCTGTTTCTCACTTCAGCTTCGCTTTCTGGAAAAGGCATGGTTTGACAATAACATTAGTTTATTTCCAGGCGTCAGTCACACATTACTATTTCTCCATTGATACTGTAACATTTAATCGCTTTGTGATTGAAGCATATGGAAACGATAGACTGGATCATTATCAACCAGTTTGTTGTTTGTCAGATCATAACGACTTCTTAAGAACAAACAAGAATTAAAATACATATTAAAAGAAATACTTACGGGCACTGTTGCAGCGCTGCCATGTCCAAATCTGGCCCCAGCATCATACCCGCCTTCAACAAGGACGGTGGAACCAGGTGGATACACAGGACCAATAGGATAGTATGCCATGGGCACTGAAGAGGCCATTGGAGCAACTTGCATAGGCTGGGTCATAGGCAGATACATTGACGTACCAGGGTAGGGTGCAGATAAAGGAGCCATGTTGGCACCAGGTGGGTGCACATACCCCGGGCGGTAAAGCTGAAAAAGAAAGGGGAGGAGGAGAGGCAAATAAATATAAAATTTAAAAAATGTAATTAAATAAAAAATGTAAAATTTAAAATAAAAGATATAACATTATTAAACATACTTCTATTGTAAAATATAGTTTGGGCATCTAAAGATAAGTATAACATAACTGAAATGTCAGCCTGTCTGTACTGGAATAAATCCCAGAAAGGACAAGAGTCACCTTTAACCTCCGGCACCAAAAATAGTCTCATCTATATACTTCATGTTTTTGCTTATGAAAGTGTAAAATGAAGTTTAAAAAAAATAAAAATAATAATTTTACTACTCCCTCCCACTCCAAATTCCAACTTGGGACAGAAGGGGGGATATGGTATTGATTGAAAGTGACACTTTTTCTGCATCATTTAGGATCCTCTAATGTTCTGTTTAAATTTGTATGTAAACTATGTATGCATATGCAATTTACATTTACACGTAACTCACAAATGTAACAGACATGGAGGGAAAAAAACTGCTAGCAGGGACACAGCTACCAGGGTACCTTCAGCATATCAAGATGTACTTCAACTAGCCTAACCACTGACATCTTTCAACATGCTCCTCAGTTATGTATTACTGGCATGGGCTGCCTATTGCCTCCCTAACACAGCCGGCTTGATACAGTGAGGTAAAGTATTTGATCCCCTGCTAATTTTGAAAGTTTGCCCAATGACAAAGAAAGTATCAGTTTATAATTTTATTGGTAAGTGTATTTTAACAGTGAGACACAGAATAACAAAACAAAAAAAGAAAAAAACGCATGTCAAAAATGTTATAAATTGATTTGCATGTCAATGAGTGAAATAAGTATTTGATCCCCTATCAATCAGCAAGATTTCTGTCTCCCAGGTGTCTGTTATACAGGTAACGAGCTGAGATTAGGAGCACTCTCTTACAGGTGTCTTTTTCTCTCTATAAAAGACACCTGTCCACAGAAGTAAATCAATCAACTAGATTCCAAACTCTCCACCATGGCCAAGACCAAAGAGCTGTCCAAGGATGTCAGGGACAAGATTGTAGACCTACACAAGGCTGGAATGGGCTACAAGACCATCGCCAAACAGCTTGGTGAGAAGGTGGCAACAGTTGGTGCGATTATTCGCAAATGGAAGAAACACAAAATAACTGTCAGTCTCCCTCGGTCTGGTGATCCAAGTAATGTCTCACCTTTTGGAGTATCAATGATCATGAAAATGCTGAGGAATCTGCCCAGAACTACACAGGAGCATCTTGTTAATGATCTCAAGGCAGCTGGGACCATAGTCACCAAGAAAACAATTGGTAGCACACTACGCAGTGAAGGACTGAAATCCTGCAGCGCCAGGTCCCCCTGCTCAAGAAAGCACATGTACGAGCCCGTCTGAAGTTTGCCAATAAACATCTGAATGATTCAGAGGAGAACTGGGTGAAAGTGTTGTGGACAGAGGAGACCAAAATCGAGCTCTTTGGCATCAACTCAACTTGCAGTGTTTGGAGGAGGAGGAGGAGGAATGCTGCCTATGACCCCAAGAACACTATCACCACCGTCAAATCCTGGGTAAGAACCTCAGTCAGGGCACTGAAAATGGGTTGTGGATGGGTAGTCCAGCATGACAATGATCCATAACACACAGCCAAGGCAACAAAGGAGTGGCTCAAGAAGAAGCACATTAAAGGTCCTAGAGTGACCTAGCCAGTCTCCAGCCCTTAGTCCCATAGAAAATCTGTGGAGGGAGCTGAAGGTTCGAGTTGCCAAACGTCAGCCTCAAAACCTTAATGACTTGGAGAGGATCTGCAAAGAGGAGTGGGACAAAATCCATTCTGAGATTTGTGCAAACCTGGTGGCCAACTACAAGAAACATCTGACCTCTGATTGCCAACAAGGGTTTTGCCACCAGGTACTAAGTTGAAGGGGTCAAATACTTATTTCACTCATTGACATGCAAATCAATTTATTACTTTGACATGCGTTTTTCTGGATTTTTTACAGTTACATGGAAGCTTTATAGCTAAACTGAATATGAAGTCCCTCCTACATTAGAGAGCATTTTGTGTGACCTGAAACATTCCCACTATGACCCTGCTTCTCTATGGAGAAGCAGTGGATAGGCTGAGGTCATTATCAATGATGATCTCAGCCAAGAAGGGTGGAGCAGTGGCCAAAGTGAGACAAGTGCATTGTCAGATAGAAGGCATGTAAAACAGTTTTCTTCTGCAGGTTTAGATTTACACACCTTCCTGTAACCACTGAATGAATAACATTAGAAATACATGTTTGTGGGTTGCTCTTTAAACTGAAGGGGAAATTTGCATTTAATTCAAATGTCTAGTTCATATTTGGCTTCCACCTCATTCTCTATTTTGGGGGTAATTGCTGTGTAGAACTCCAGGTGTTTCAGACATCTACCTACCATGATGCTCAGCAAGCTATATGACCCAAACACATACATAGGATGATATAATTTCAATGGTATCATACATTACCTCTGAGTAAGCCGGTGGAGCATCGGTGTAAGGAGGAGCTTGTGAAAGATGCATGGTTGGTGGGTACACAGATTGAGGATTAGGAGTCTGGGTGGGATAGGCTGGGGGTGTTGGGTACTGTCCTGTAGAGAGGGATGACAAGACAAGGACAGACATTACATTGTAAGAATAGGACAATACAATTTTATTTCTAAAGAATGAAGACCTCACATTTAACTTCTTCAGCAACGAGTCATGCCAGAGTTAATATTTAAGGAACACTTCAAGGTCCAATAGAGGTCCTGGCTCCAAAATGCCCTAGATTTCTCTAAGAGTATAATCTGTCAAACAATTTAAAAACAAAGACAACTCACCCAAGTCCCCTGGGTGCCCCGCTGCATCCGGCTTTTCCTACAGGAAAAGCCAGACCTCTACAATGAGTAAAGCACGGACCTATACAGGGCTGCGTTTATTGGGTGAGAACACTCAGCTGACCCGGTCAGCCAATATGAGCGTCCTTGCTTAGCTCTACAGACCAGGTTATGCAGCCACAGGCGGGTAGTAGTTATAGTGCTTGGTGTTCCTTTAATTCAGGCTTCCCCAAACTCCAACCCTCCAGATGTTTCTGAACTACAACTCCCATGATTCTCATCCTATTTCATTTATAGAATCATGGGAGTTGTAGTTCAGCAACATCTGGAGAGCCAGAGCTTGGGGAAGCCTGCTTTAATTGATTAAACTTGAGTGATATCAGTCAGGCAGTTAATTAACCCTTTTAAATGCTCCCTGGTTTAACAACCCATTTCTGTATAATACGGCATACCATACTGGCATTAAGAGATAAATATATATATAATAATGCCAAACTAGGAATATCCACTATTCATTAGTTTGTGACACCCAAAATACCGGTGTTGGGTGATTAGCTGGTTGAATAACCTTAATATTTGTACAGAATTTGACTATATAAAAGTGTGTAGCAGAGCTGTACCCAGGCTGGGTTCCTCTGCCCAGGATCGCTTCCCAACTGGAACCAGGGAAAACTGCCGCTCTTCTGCCCCAGTCGCCGTGGCTTGACTGAGGTCCTTCTGGAGCGTTGCCACCCGACAAGGCAGCAACTCTCCTTCCAGGTAGGTATAGTTTCCTCTCTGCCGGCAATGTGATTTCTATTGCCTTAACAAAAGGCACTTGCGGCTCTTAGGCCTAACACTCTTGATTTATCCCAGAGCTAGAGTGATCATTCAGCCAGCCAACTGGTACGACATCTCTGTGGCTAGGATCCCTAAAAATCCACACAGGACACTATTCCAAATGGAACATACAATACTTTATTTTACTTGGGACTAGTCAATACGTTCATTACATATACATTGCTGTGACAAACATAATAAGATTTAAATAACCAAAACATGTCACAAAATACACAGGAAATTATAATAGCATAATATATTTATAACGGGATAGGGAAGACATTAATTAACAGAACATATCTCTGTCTGCACTATTAGCAATATGCAAATCTACCCGAATATGCAAATTAGAAATCCTTGCTATTCAGCTAGTGCATACAGCGATTGCAAGATCCTTGCAACCAATAGGTGGCGCTGTACAGGCTCCACAGCCAAACCCAACTAGTTGATTGCAAGCTTTAGCAAGACAGGAGAACACACTAACATTTAAAGGATCACTATAGGGTCAGGAACACAGACATGTATTCCTGACCCTATAGCTTTAAAACCACCATCTAGCTCCCCTGGGCCCCTCATGCCTCCATAAATATAGCAAAATCTTACTGTATTCAAGCCTGAAGCTGTAACTCTGCATGCTGTTTGCCTCAGAAAAACAAGCAGTCTGCTGACATCATCAGAAGTGGTAGCCTGATCCAATCACAATGCTTCCCAATAGGATTGGCTGAGACTGACAGAGAGCAGATCGGGGGCAGAGCCAGCACGATTCAAACAGCCCTGGCCAATCAGCATCTCCTCATAGAGATGAATTGAATCAATGAATCTCTATGAGGAAAGTTCAGTGTCTGCATGCAGAGGGAGGAGATCCGGACTGTTTGGATGCATTTTAGGGAGCCATGACCCAGGAAGGATCTCTAACAGCCATCTGAGGAGTGGCCAGTGAAGTTATCTCTAGGCTGTAATGTAAAGACTGCATTTTCTCTGAAAAGACCGTGTCTATAGCAAAAACCTGAGGGTAATGATTCTACTCACCAGAAAAAATTCAATAAGCTGTAGTTGTTCTGGTGACTATAGTGTCCCTCTAAACCCAAACAACCACCTCGCACCCACAATGGACACAGGGTGACTTAAACATAGGAATAGTCCAGGGTCCACCATAAAATGTCCATATGAAACCCAAGTTGATGGTGACTACCGTCACAAAGTGTTTACCCAGACTATTAAACACGGATATTATTTGCAAAGTGCTTAGCTAGAGAGTTACCCTTATCCACTTGGTATGACTATTTTTAGTGTTGCAAGTTAATGATTGAAACAATTTCAGAAGTATTACTAGGTGTTCTTTATTCATCCATAATTTCCTTCTGTTTTGTTACACATCTGCAATCATAACAGTTGTCACAGGCCCCACGTGTAGCCCTATATCTCCAGGGCCTGGTCAGCGCTGTGGCCGTGGTATAGCGAGACCGGGCCCCTTTAAAAAAAAGAAAAAAAGAAAAAGCAGCCGCAGCAAGTGCTGCTGGGAGGAAGTGGTCACTTCCTCCCAGTTCACTTCGCGCGCGACAGTGAGGGAGAGCCACGCCCACTCTTATCAGCCCCAGCCGCCTTCCTGCAAAGAAAAGGTAAGAAACAGGAGGGTGCCTGGAAAATGAGCTGTGTGTGTATATAGGTCTATGCATGCATGTCTGTATATATATACAAAGAATTTTTTTCTCATCTTTTCATTGGGGACACACACACACACACCCCCCCCCCCATGAAAAGATGAGAAAAAAAATTCTTTGTATTCAAACATACATACATATACACACACACACCAGTATCAATGTATGTCATTATGTATGTATATATGCAAGTCTGTATGTCAGTATGAATGTATGTCTGCATATCATTCTGAACGTATGTCTGTATGCCATTGTGAATGTATGGGTCTTTATGTCCTCATGCATGTGTGTCTGTATGTATGCGTCTGTCTGTCACTATGTGTGTCTGTATATGGGTGTATGTCTCAGTACATGTGCCTGTATGCGTGTATGTCTGTTTCAGTATGTGTGTACCTGTGTCCTTTTGTATCAGTGTTCTTTTGTATCAGTGTGTGTGTGTGTGTATTCCTGTGGGCGGTATTTGGTGGCGGGCCCCAGACCCTGATCTGAGTTAGGGGCCCCAAAATTTCTGGTGGCGGCCCTGTCTGCAATAAATACACTCTACATACTTGCATAGTCTACACCAGGGGTGTCCAAACTTTTTTCAAAGAGGGCCAGATTTGATGAAGTGAACTAAAATTTAATGCAAATTAACTATTTTATGCAAAGTTTATTGCATACGGCATACTTTTAATTTCATCTCTTTATTCTCTCCCTTCTCTCTTTATTCTGTGCCAGGAGAAGGAACCAAATGCCGCGAATGACATGACGTCCACGAGATCCTGCGACGTCCAAGAAATCGCGAGAACGCAGACTGAGGTCACTACACATCCGTCTGCGTTCTTGCAAGCTTTTGGCCCCCAGTGAATCCCTGAGCACCGCTCATGACCGCAGTGTTCAAAAATCCAGAGATCCCAGGGGTCCTGAGCGGCGCTCGGGGATTCACTGGGGGCCACAACAGGTAGATTAGCCAAACTACCTGTGGGGCCATATTAAACAGAAACATGGGCCGCAATTGCCCCGCGGGACAGACTTTGGACATGACTGGTCTACACATTGGTCTTTACATGTGAAGGTACCCAGCGATTGCTCATGATGGCCATACAAGCTCTTCTACAGAAAGCAAGAAGAAAGAGCCATAACATGTACAGGTTCTACTGCAAAGCACAAATAAGAGGCGGCCTTGTAGCAGCCTCAATTGTAGATAATCACTGGAGCTCCAATAGGATGAACGCAGACAGAAAGAATGAAGGCTTGTGCCATAGTCTAAGCAGGAAATATTTGGTTAGCATTTACAAATAGGTTTTTGCATATTAATAGAGTGTATTTATCAGACATCCAATGCATTAAGTTGCCAAACAATGATTAAAGAAACACTCAACGCACCATAACAACTACAGTTCATTGTAGTTTGTTATGGTGCCAGGCGTGCCCTGAAGTTGTCCAGTAGCAAGATGTCAAACAGTTATAGCATGGTCTGACAACTTGCCAAGTGCCAGGGCAGCATACATTCTTCTCCAGCAGAAGATTACTCTATTAAACAAAGCAGGACCACGTTCATTGGGTAAAAAGATCAGCTGAGCACTCTCAGCCAATGCGCACATGACCTCTTCTGCAAGAGAAGACAGCATACAGTGCAGATACCCGGAGGACCTAATTAGGTTGTCAAAGCATGCTGAAACGGTTTGACATCTTACCACTGGACAGCAGCTAGACACTCCAGGCATCACAGCCACTACAGCAGGCTGCAGCAGTTACAGTGAGGGGAAAAAAAGTATTTGATCCTTTGCTGATTTTGAACATTTGCCCAATGACAAAGAAATGATCAGTATATAATTTTAATGGTAGTATATGGTGTATTTTAACAGTGAGAGACAGAATAACAAAAAACAAAGAAAATGCATGGCAAAAAAGTTATAAATGGATTTCCATGTCAATGAGTGAAATAAGTATTTGATCCTCTATCAAACAGCAAAATTTCTGTCTCCCAGGTGTCTTTTATACAGGTAACTAGCTGAGATTAGGAGCACTCTCTTACAGGTTTAAAAGACACCTGTCCACAGAAGTAATCAATCAACTAGATTCCAAACTCTCCACCATGGCCAAGACCAAAGAGCTGTCCAAGGATGTCAGGGACAAGATTGTAGACCTACACAAGGCTGGAATGGGCTACAAGACCATCGCCAAACAGCTTGGTGAGAAGGTGGCAACAGTTGGTGCGATTATTCGCAAATGGAAGAAACACAAAATAACTGTCAGTCTCCCTCGGTCTGGTGATCCAAGTAATGTCTCACCTTTTGGAGTATCAATGATCATGAAAATGCTGAGGAATCTGCCCAGAACTACACAGGAGCATCTTGTTAATGATCTCAAGGCAGCTGGGACCATAGTCACCAAGAAAACAATTGGTAGCACACTACGCAGTGAAGGACTGAAATCCTGCAGCGCCAGGTCCCCCTGCTCAAGAAAGCACATGTACGAGCCCGTCTGAAGTTTGCCAATAAACATCTGAATGATTCAGAGGAGAACTGGGTGAAAGTGTTGTGGACAGATGAGACCAAAATTGATCTCTTTGGCATCAACTCGCCGTGTTTAGAGGAGGAGGAATGCTGCCTTATGCGTTGGGGTTGTTTTTCTGCTAAGGGGACAGGACAACTGCACCTCAAAAGAACGATGGACGGGGCCATATACTGTCAAATCTTGGGTGAAAACCTACTTCCCTCAGCCAGGACATTGAAAATGGGTCGTGGATGGATATTCCAGCATGAAAGAAAGGAGTGGCTCAAGAAGAAGCACATTAAGGTCCTAGAGTGACCTAGCCAGTCTCCAGACCTTAATCCCATAGAAAATCTGTGGAGGGAGCTGAAGGTTCGAGTTGCCAAACGTCAGCCTCGAAACATTAATGACTTGGAAAGGATCTGCAAAGAAGAGTGGGACAAAATCCATCCTGAGATATGTGCAAACCTGGTGGCCAACTTTAAGAAACGTCTGACCTCAGATTGACAAGCAAGGGTTTTGCCACCAAGTGCAAAGTCAAAGGGGTCAAATACTTATTCCACTCATTGACATGAAAATCTATTTATTACTCTGACATGCATTTTTCTGGATTTTTTTGGTTATTCTGTCTCTCACTGTTAAAATACACCTACCATTAAAAATATAGACTCATGATTTCTTTGTCAGTAGGCAAACGTTTCAAAATCAGCAGGGGATCAAATACTATTTCCCCCTTACTGTATGGTGCTTAGAGTGTTCCTTTATAGGTTTATTTATTCTACCTGTGGTAGAAAATATTGAGTGTGAGATTTAAAACCTCTAACATTGTACGTCCTTTCTGAAGGTCCGAGTGTCAGGATTACAGTATGATCCAGCACGTAGAATTGTGTAACACAGAGGACTGATAGGTAACGTATACCGGACCTTATAATGGCCGGTCTAATGTACCAAAGAATAGCCAAGGTCAAGGGACACACCAATAAGGAAAAGCCAGGGGTCAGGGATCAAAATCAACGCCAAAGTCAAATAACCAGAATCAATAACGTGCTCTCTGACAACTGCAAGGGAAACCACGACAGGGCACTGAGCAAGAGGAGAACTGGGCCTATATACCCCGCCTGTGGATCCGATTGGTTGTAACCGGCCTTTGACCCCAAAGGCAGTTACCAGGTTCTTATTTGCATAATTGCTGCTCAGAACAAACCCTCCTGTGGATTGATTGCAGCTAGGCACAACTTTTCCTGTCAGAACAATTAATACCATTAATCACATTTTTATGTGTGGATGAATACATGACACCCAGGAGGAATGTGTTACTAGCAACCATCAGATGGGCACCAGTTTAAAGTAACTAAGTAAGTACCACTATAGCCCATTGTCATGGTGCCTAGAGTGTGCCGTTAAAGTGCCATTCAAAGGCTCTTAGCAGTCTGTTTGGTCATGAAGCAAGCCTTTAATGGTACATAATCGCAGAGGTGCCAAAAATAACTGTTGGAAAAAAAAATACGCAATATTTAGATTACCTTAAGAAAACTATAATAAATTAGAACATTTTTAAAACCTCCCCTAAAAATAAACTTTTCAGATTATGTATTTATATCTACTCGAAAGTCTACAGTCAATTTGTTATAATATTACTATTTTATAAAACTTGTAAATAAAAGATAACAGGTAATATAGCATGTGCGTTGTATAAGTTAATACCCATTTCCAGAGCATCTAATCTTGTTACAAAATAGCCACCACTTATCCAACTGGCTGTAATGGTTTTGCTGTTCAAGTTCTTAAGGCACAACCTGCGGTTTGTGCATGTTATCCCAATTCAATAACATGCTCTCAGTTACCTACATGGTCAGCTGGTTAAGCAGTGACAATGGTGACGGTTTTCATTTAAGAAAAGGGGAGAATCACTTTAATTTCTACAGTGGCATCTAACAGCATACTAATTCTAGTTGTATAGAGGGAACTTGTAATGTACATATTTGTTTTGACTACAATTCCCTGGGGCCCTCTTTCTCACTCTCTTGGTGGAGCAGCCTTGGTGATAGCAAGACACACACTATTTAGTTTCAGTGTAGCATCACAGAGAAAGTTATAGTAAACTAAACAGAAACTGCAGAAACACTACATACTGTAAAATAAAGATTGGCAGGCTTATATTAAAAAAAATAAAAAAAATGTTGAAGTCTTTATTACTGCCATTAAATTAACCGATACCTTGATTCATTTTAGGTCTGGGTTTTTTTTTTGTAACTGATGCAGTAAATCACAGTGAGATATTTCTTGAATGCTTTCCAGCTCTGCATGTGAATATAGGATGTATAGTGAGCACTGCGTGCAGGAAATAGCAGAAAGTGGCATATGGCTGCATGGCACAGTGCCCACTTTTTCCTGCCAGTGTTCACCGTGTTAACCGAGGACAAGCTGTATTGCTGCAGCTTGAGAGTGCGGGACTAAAACCCGAGGCATTACTGTGTAAATTCCGAAAACACAATAGAGAATTTACTTTTAACTCTAGAAAAACTGGTGATATCTGCAGATAATCCTTGGGTGCCAATCACAGCAGCAGGTAAAACAGCTGAGCTACTATGTCTGAAACATTTATTGGTCACATGAAAATAATTGGGTGTTTTAGGTTTTAATAGTTTCAGATTAAAGGACCACTATAGGCACCCAGACCACTTAAGCTTAATGAAGTGGTCTGGGTGCCAGGTCCAGCTAGGGTTAACCCCTTTTAGACAAACTGCTATGTTTATATTAGGGTTAATCCAGCCTCTAGTGGCTGTCTCATTGACAGCAGCTAGAGGGCTTGCGCGCTTCTCACTGTAATTTTCACAGTGAGAAGACGCCAGCGTCCATAGGAAAGCATTGTGAATGCTTTCCTATGAACTGGCTGAATGCGCGCGCAGCTCTTGCCGCGCATGCAGCCGAAGAGGGGGCGGAGAGGAGAGCTCCCCGCCCGGTGCTGGAGAAAGAGGTAAGTTTAACCCCTTATATACAAAAAACACTAATCACCAATTAGAGGAACAAACACACAAACAGGTATACAAATACCTAATTAATTCCAAACTGTAGAACAAATAGGACTCCTCCCAGTCCTCGTAATATAATAGAAACAGAAAAGATCTACAGAACAGAAAAATAAAAACTCATAGAGTAGTAAAGCCAAAATACATCAAATCCCTGCTAGTTTGATTACACTCACAGGCATAAATTTATAGTAGGCATATCTCAATAATGGAGCACTGGATAGAAGGGAATCCTCAGTACGAACTCATGGACATGTAGGAGAGAAAATAGACCGCAAATAAGTGTAGATTATAAGTAATATTAACCCTGCACTGTAATCAGTTACACTTACAAGTTAATAATGATATAAAAGCATGTCATAAAGTATCCTCCACAGCCATCCTCCTTCAATTGATGATGAATAAACAAAATAGGGGGAATACTGTGACTAAAAAATATTTATTAAATAAAACAATAAACAAACTGTTATAAGTAAGCGGACTAAAAGTTCTCTCTACAAACATCCAACCCTACGCGTTTCGTCCTCTATATACCGGACTTCCTCAGGGGTATCAGGATCTCCCGTGCAGCATCAACCTTTCTTTTCGGCGTGGTTAAATAGCCCGATCAAACTCCCGCCAAAAACCGCCTCCAATCAGCGCTTCCTTGTTCCGGTTGTCTTCACAGCGTTCCAAGCCTCATTTTCATATCACATTCTTATGCGCATGTGCGTAATCGGCAATTTCAAAGAGGTTCACGATCGATCCAAATGTTCATAAAAAGTCCTCCCTTCCTCCATGAATCATCACAAAAAAAACTCATCGAACGTGATATATGACAAAGAGAGATATTTTGTTACACAATCAGTTCATAAAAACAGTATAACAAAAAGCAACATTTTATTAAAATTGCATTCAAAGGGAGTTCATATTACTGTACATCAAAAAGAAGGAAAGGGAAATGAAGAAAGTCTTTGTGATATTAGAATCCACACCCTTATCCAAAGGCACCACAATAAATTGATTTGAAATTGCCGATTACGCACATGCGCATAAGAATGTGATATGAAAATGAGGCTTGGAACGCTGTGAAGACAACCGGAACAAGGAAGCGCTGATTGGAGGCGGTTTTTGGCGGGAGTTTGATCGGGCTATTTAACCACGCCGAAAAGAAAGGTTGATGCTGCACGGGAGATCCTGATACCCCTGAGGAAGTCCGGTGTATAGAGGACGAAACGCGTAGGGTTGGATGTTTGTAGAGAGAACTTTTAGTCCGCTTACTTATAACAGTTTGTTTATTGTTTTATTTAATAAATATTTTTTAGTCACAGTATTCCCCCTATTTTGTTTATTCATCATCAATTGAAGGAGGATGGCTGTGGAGGATACTTTATGACATGCTTTTATATCATTATTAACTTGTAAGTGTAACTGATTACAGTGCAGGGTTAATATTACTTATAATCTACACTTATTTGCGGTCTATTTTCTCTCCTACATGTCCATAAGTTTAACCCCTTCCCTGCGGGAGGGGTCCAGGGCACTATAGTGCCAGGAAAACGAGTATGTTTTCCTGGCATTATAGTGGTCCTTTAAGCTCGAAAGGGCAGATAGGCAATCAAATTTTTCTGAGAACCTATATATCTGCAATATAGAGCCTGTCCGAGACTCTTAAACAAGCGTTTCATATTTAAGCCTGCAGATTCTTTTTGTAAACTTCATACAAACTGGCATGGGGAGAGAGCAGGTAGCTGATTACCTCCCAATCCACTTTAAATGGCTTATACACAAAAATAAAAGTCCTGCATTTAAACTCTCACTACTCCTTGGCGGTAGCAACGACCATAGAACACATCAGCCCAAATACATACAAAACAAGCAAAAAAAAAAAAAGTTACCTGCGCACTAGCCCAAATCCCTATGCATATTTAAATAAAGAGGTTATTCAGTAACTCTTTAGTATGATTTCTTCACTTTAAATGGCTGTTAAACTATAAGCCCAGCAGCCTGAACAACGACTGAGATTAAACATTTACTCGTTTGAAAATATATTACAAATCAACAACTATTCTTACCATCATTGAGTTCTCCTGATCTGATCATTATTGTGTCCCTCCTGTTAGCTATCCTTCAAACAGATGATTAAAGGACCACGATAGTGCCAGGAAAACATACTTGTTTTCCTGGCACTATAGTGCCCTGAGGGTGCCCCCACCCGCCCGGCTCTGGGGAGAGGAAAGGGGTAAAAACTTACCTTTTTTCAGCGCTGTGCGGGGAGCTCTCCTCCTCCTCTCCTCCCATTTACAATGCTTTCCTATGGACGCTTGCGTGCTCGCACTGTGATTTTCACAGTGAGAATCACGCAAGCGCCTCTAGCGGCCGTCAATGAGACAGCCGCTAGAGGAATTGGAGGAAGGATTAACCCATTTGTAAACATAGCAGTTTCTCTGAAACTGCTATGTTTATAAAAAAATGGGTTAATCCTAGCTGAAGTGGTCTGGGTGCCTAGAGTGGTCCTTTAACAAAAAAAAAGGCAGCATTTACATTAGGCTGTAGTGGTTCTGGTAACCTTGGTGTTCCTTTAGGAACTGTATTTTTGTCATTGAAAAAAAAAACCTGTCTCCTAACTTTTTTTAGCTGGTTCCTAGATTGAAAGCACATTTGTCGAGCCCTGCCTTAAAGGAACACCCCACGCACCATAACCACTACAGCTCATTTCTAATATTAGGAAGTAGTGCCCTGGCACACCACAATGTAAGTAATAAAACTGTTTTTGAACTGTTGGATTCTTTCTGGTGGTCTGCTGGCGCTGCTCCATGCTTGCCTACTAATGCCAGAGAGCCAGAAGCTCCAAAGCAAGAACTTCTGTTAGCTCTCCTGAGCTAAGCCCTGCACTGCTTACGAGCTTCTGGCTCTTACCCATTTGTAGTCTGGACACTTACAATGGATTGGGCTCTAGGGCACTGCTGGCATCATAGCCATTATGGCAATGGTGCTCGCAGTGCTTCTATTTTGTCATTTGAATACTCCTTGGGGCTTGGGTTGGGGCTAATGATGTAACATGATTTTAAGCCGGTGAGATAGCTCAGTGGACTAATGCATCACCAGTAGAATCCGTTCAACCCTTGGGTTGCAAGTTTGACTCAGCCCTTCATCCTTCCGAGGTAAATAAAATGAGTACCATTAAATTGGGTAATAGTAACAACCCCTGGATGTTGGGCTAAGCCAACATCCCCAGGACCTACTTGAAAACCAGAGTAATCTTAATGTACCTTTCCTGGTTAACTATTTTGTTGTTGTTATTATTATTATTATTATTTTAGAGGGAAAAGAAAAATTAATATATTCCACCCCACTACAAACATGCTATGTTACATAAAGGAAGTAATTAGTAGGACATATTAGGACTGCATCACTGGCACCAGATGGGACCATGTGCAGCCCTGCTATATTATGGACTTCTTGTTACTCATGGTGTACGGCACAGCAGGAACCACTCTGCCTGTCTCTCCCAGTTCAATGGCTTTCCCTACCTGTTTGCAGTATCACAGTGTTAACAGGCTTTATTTACTTCAACTGTGCAACTTGAAAATGAAAGATAACAGTCACCTTAAGTAATGACACAAAGTTTGAGCTTTTGAGTACTGGAAACGGTTAGCAGACCTTTAGAGAGATGCATGACCCATCTTTAACTTTAAAACACAGGGCAAATAAGTTTACAATGTGCACTTGTACGACTTATTTTTGGTGGTGTCACTTAACCTTTCCTGTGACACACCTTCTGAATGCATATTTGTATTCTTTACCAGTTAAATGTCAGTTCCATTACCTAATAACGGGTAAGCCCCAGGTAATATGAGCAACTGCTAGGTATGTGAAAATGTGACTTCCTGGAGTGTGTCTCTCCTTGGACTACTTGCAATGATTGCTATAGAAAGGTGCAAATGCCTAGATGCGACACCATTGGCTGATGCGCACTTCAGACCTCCACCAAGTGATTCTAGAAAGGAATACTGAAACACTGCTTGTGTGAATGTCTGCACTGCAGTAACATGGGTGGTAATGCAGACAAACACCGCTGCCTTCTCACTGCAATAGCCAACAGCTGTTTTGAGAAAATGTATGAATTGATTAAAGGGTTACTGTCATTTTGACACTCAGTCATGTGAGCTACATGTTCACCATAATTAGTAAGGCATGATGCTGCAGCAGTCACCATGAGCATTGTTTCCACAAGGGAAACAGAGGGCATGGAAATGCTATTATTGTTAGCAGTGATGTTTGTTTTAGCCTACAGTACATAGGTATGTAAAACACAGGTGCACTGACAGTACTCTTGCACATCCCTGCATAGCTAGCCGATGTGCAGATATACACTTGAGCAGCTGATATAACATGAGTGGCGTCTCTTTTTCATGTTAATTCATTAATTACAGCAGTGAGTGTCTTCTCTGCTTTGCAGCACCACAAGTGAAGTATAACTAGCATGGTCTTTCAATGCGCTTTAATAAAAGAGTGACCTCATGTATGCATGGCCGTAAGTAGCTTCCTTCATGAAACAAAAAGGGGGTAGAGGGGGAGCCAGCCTGGTAAGCAGCATTCATGCTTTTTTTCCCCATGATGCAGGATTCAGTTCTCTCAGTTGCTGAAATACCCAATCCATAAGGGGATAAATGTATATGCATAGAGCTCCCATTGATAACAATGGGGAACTAGAACTGGTAGAATAATTTAACTCAATAGAACACACTGAAGGGTATAAATTAATGTAAATATACTATTATCTAATCAGACATTACTACAAAAGGAAGCTAGTTTATATATTTATGTAGCAGCATGTAAACAAGGCAAGCAAATCCCGCTGTTCTTAGTGGAAAAAAAAACTGTTAATATCAAATTAATCCCTGTCCTATAATTCAACACCTACCCCTAGATTCATTCGTGGATAAACTGCAATTTAATTCACCGTAAATGTATTTTTCCTTAATATGGTAGCAGTACAAAAATAAATAAAAAATTAACATAAACATTCCTTCTCCAACAGGTATAAGACACCAACCTGCCATGCACCCGCAGTAAGTCCCAATAAAACATCAGAGACCTAATATATCAAAATTTATTAATAAAGAAAAGGAGTGCTGTCTGCCACCATATCACGGAAAAAGGAATTTACAGTGAGTAAAATTGCAGTTTTTCCTGAAATATGGTGGCAGTACAATAGGGATATATCGAGATCCCAGAGCTATGGGCGGGAATTAAGCAATCACCGCTTGGAACACCTTTTCCCTGAAAGCAAAGAATAAGTCTAGTCTGTAATGCTTGACTAAGGTGTTGAATGAAGACCATGTATCGGCTCTGCAGAGATCTTCAGGTGAAGCATGTGCTCTTTCGGCCCAGGAGGCAGCCATAGCTTTAGTATAATGAGCTTTCAAGTAGGCAGGTAGAGTCAGATTTGAATTTCACCTATCCGCTTAGCAGAAGTTATGGCCACCAAAAAAAAAACAGTTTTTAGAGACCAGTGCTTTAAAGAGGTTTGCTCCAAAGGTTCGAAAGGATGGGCACAAAGAGCCTATAAAAAAAAAAAAAAAAAATCAGATCAGATCCCAAGAGGGGAAAAAAAACTCTTCTAGGGGGCTTAATCAGCCTGACAGCCTTAAAAAGAATCTCCTAGTCAGAGGATTCAAAGCCAAGTTCTTTACCAAAAAATGGCTGACAGCAGAAACTTGAACTTTGAGGGTAGATAAACTAAGACCCCCCTTTAATGCCGTCCTGTAGAAAATGCAAGATAGTATCAGTAAAAGGAGAATCTCGCAGGCAATGATGAGATGCACCAATGAAGGAATTTCGTCCAAATTTTCCAATAGATGGCAGAGGTAGATCTTCTGGTGGAATTCAGCAGAATCTTGAATCTCTCCTTCATAATGCCCGTGCTATGCAGGATTAGCCGTGCAGCAGCCAAGCAGTCAACCTGAACATTTTCAATACCTCCAGTGGAATACCTTCGTTCTCCAGGATCTCTGTTGAAACTGGAAGTTCCCAGTACCTCAAAACCATCATCATTAAAATCGAGAACCAGCTCAGATTTGGCCATTATGGGATTATGGCCAATACTTTTGCATGTTCTGATTTCACCTTTTTCAAGATCCTTGGCATTAGGCTCTCCGAGGGAAATATGTATGACAGGGTGAAGTCCCATTTGATTGATAGCCCATCCAGAACCAGAGGCATATGTACCTTGAAGAGTGAGGCAAATGTTTTCACCTTTGCATTTGACCTTCTTGCCATTAGATCGATGACAGGCAGTCCGAATATCTTCACCAGCTGAAAAAAAAAAAAAAAAAGTGACCATACTTAGAGACCACTCGTTCTGGGACCATCTCGATCTACATAAGTCGTCTGCAATAACGTGTCTTCTAGATGACTTTGAGCCCAGGACATAATTTGCATGCAAAGGGAGTGCGATTTTCTTATCCTTGTGCCCCCTTGTTTGTTCAGGTAAGACACCGTAGTCTGGTTGAAGAGCGTATAAGACTTATCAACTCCTTGTAATTTGAGGATTCCCTTTTTTCTTTCTTCTGACCATGTATCTTGTCTTAAGTGATACTGTAGGTGTGCACCCCAAACTGTATTCGAAGCGTCTATGGTGATTATGACCCATCTATTTGGCCGAAATGTTAGACCTTCTGACATGAAACAGTTTTTTTGCTCTAATATAGTTGTCTTCTTACAGGATCTGAAATGTTTATTAAAGAATCCAAGTCTTCTTTCTTTGACCACTTTAGAAGAATTTCCCACTGCAAAGGCCTTAATTCTGCTCTAGCCCATTTTACTGCTGGGATAGTGGAAGTGAGCTGTCCCAACACCTGCATAAGTTTCCTCACAGAGCATTTTGTCAGCTTCTTTAGCTTTCTTCTTTTTTCCGCTGGTAGGTGAATAGCAAGAGTGTCTGACTTGATCAAAAACCCTAGAAACTGAATTGACCTTGTGGGATGCAGATGAGATTTTCCTCGGTTTATCACCCAACCATGTTCTTCCAGAATATTTTGGGTGTAAGCCACATCCGTCTCTAGAGCGTCTCTTGACTTTGCCTTTATGAACCAGTCATGATATCTTAAACCCTTAAGAAGGCTGCAATAGGCGTTTGAACCTTTGTAAAAATCCTGGGAGCTGAGGCAAGACCGAATGGAAGGGCTTTGAATTGAAATTGAAAGTGATGAACCTTGTGACCCTTTCTTATGGTAAATCGCAGGTACGTTCTTGAACCAACGTCCATAGGAATGTGAAGGTAGGTATCTTTCAAATCTAAAGTTGCCATCAAATCTCAATTTTGGAGAATGAGTGACTGATGCAATGGTTTCCATTCTGAAATGCTGGTAAGGAATACTGTTTAATTCTTTTAGATCCAAAATGGGATGAAAGGACAAATCTGGTTTTCGGACCAGGAACAACCAAGAGTATACACCCTGATACAGCTGGGTTCTTGGAACTCTTTCTACAACACCTTTCTTTAAAAGAGAAACCGTAGCGGAGAATAGAGCTTGTTTTTTCAGTTTTGAACGGTAGGAGGAGACAAGGAAACTTGGTCTTGGTATAGCTAAGAACTTAATTTTGTATTATCTTGCAACTAGATTCAAAAGTCCATGGATTTGCAGTGGTCTCTATCTGTGAGCAAATTGTTGTATTCGTCCGCCTACTCTAATGGTGTCAGAATCTTTTTGCTCTGTCAGCCTTGAAGTCTTTATTTGCGTCAAACTTAGGATCTTTCCTTGGTTGACGAAAAAAACCTGGGTTTTTCTTGATACACCCTGCGGTTATTGTATTGGAAGTTCTTGTATCTGGGCTTCCAGGCATACTTCCGGTCCTGAGGGAGAGCTTTTTTGGTTTCCGGATTAATTCTTCCAAAGGAGAACCAAATAATCTCTTCCTCTCCAAGGGCAGTTCACAAAGTGCAGACTTTGAGGCTGTATCAGCCGTCCATGCTTTAACACAAAGTGCCCTGCGGGCTATAGATGGCCCATGACACGAGCAGAAAGTTTAATCACCTCTATGATAACATCAAGCAGATATACAGTAGATAACTTTAAATTGTGGAACAGGCGAGAGATCTTTGTCCTGGTTATCCATCAGGCTGTCTTCCAATCCCTGAATCCAACAATACTGAGCTTTGGCCACTGAAGCTCCTGATGCTTGATATGCTTGTCTGCTGGACGTTTCAGCCCTTTTATCCATAGGGTCTTTAAGTCCAGAGACTTCTCCAATCTGTATAAGTACCATGTCTTTATCCATAATATCTGGGGAGGCTGGACTAGACATATCTGCACAACATAAAGCATAAAGCAATTATGTAGCTATCCTTGCTACCACACATATTTTACTACTGTATATTCACCATTTCACTATTTTATGAAATTGTAGAAATTTAAGAAAATCAAGATAGACCGAGGTCTTGAAGATCAGAGACTGAAAAAAATCTCACCTCTAAAACCTCTGACCCGTGTGGGGGGTGGGGGCTGGTGACACGGGAAATCCTTCCTGGCAAGCATCCATGCTGTCAGTAGGATATGCACAGCTTAACCCCTTAAGGACCAAACTTCTGTAATAAAAGGGAATCATGACATGTCACACGTCATGTGTCCATAAGGGGTTAAATAGGTAGCATTCATTAAAATGTGGGCGCTATTTCCAGGAATTCCGACAGCGCATGCGCAGTCGGAACTCCGGTGGAACGCATTACCTCCCGGGCATGCACATGTGTCTCACTCAGGCAGGGATTTGCTGCGGCTAGAGACCTCCTCCTTGTTTTGCCAGTGACCACACTCGGCATAGAGCAAATAAAAAATAAAAAAAATTTAAAAAAATAAAATTAAAAATACCTGCTCCGTAAGTCTTACCGAATGTACGCAGGCCACTCAAGCTCTCCACCCAGGAGGCTATCAGGCCGGTTCACCCTGGCAGCAACCCATGTGCCTCACCACAAAATCCAGATGCCGTCCGTTCCTGATGGAATGAGAACTGAGGGTCCATGACAAGCTGGTGCCATGTTCGGGGAGGAACGTTTATGTTAACTTCATTTCAGATGCTTGTCCCATGGAAAGAGTACATCCCTATTGTACTGCCACCATATGTCAGAAAAAAACAGGAATAAAACTATTCAACTTGCAGTATGGTTAATTCATGATCTCAGCTATGTATATGTTTAATTCCAAGACCAACTACATATAACAGAAAATGAGAGAACCAATACAAATTGGGACTAATTACAGAATATCCCATAAATTACCTTATAAAACCAGAGAAGAGCAAGTACTGATGGACTTATAGAACTGTAGCATATTTTCTGCAACTCACTGCAAATTCAAGGCCTTCAGGAAAGTCTTCACTGTTATCATCACACACAGCATGGTGACGTGAAAAACACTAAAAATGCTTCTCATAGATCTCATTGGATCCCATGCTTCTCTATAAGAAGCATCCGACTGACAGACTACAGCGACTGCCCCGCATGTGCCTAAGGTTACCAGTACTTCTCCATGAGAAGCATTGGATTGGACCCAGACCACCACAACTGATGATCTTGGCTGAAGAGAGGAGTCTGTACCCCTTAAAGGAACACTGAATCACAAGAAATACAAATCCCCATTTCTAACGCTTTAGTGTAACTGTCTGTGTTTGAAAACAGTGCCCACCACCCCCTTTTCCATAAAAATAAAAGGTTTTACTTACCTTTTTCCAGTGCCGAGGCTCCTTCAGGGACTTCACAGAAGAGGCATGGCCTCCTTGGCCAATGTTCAATTCTCCTCATAGATGAGCAATGGAGATTTGATGCGAATGTGCATCCAAGCTTCCCCTTAGGAAAGCAGAGAATAAATGCTTTCCTATGGGGGGGTTTCCACATCATGTGCCCAAGATTTACTCAATTAGTGCCACGGCAGCACCTCTTGTAGCTGCCAGTATGACAGAGAGGGATTTAACCCAGCAATGTAAACATTAGAGTATCTTAGAAACTGCAATGTTTAACAATACAAGGTTGCAAGCACTGGACCACTGCACCAAGGCCACTACATTGAAAGTATCATAGGGGCTAGAGCCACTGGGTGCCATTTTACATTGAAGGGGCTTAAACCATTTCAAAACAGTCTAACCACAAATGTCTCCCCCAGATTCCTGTCTTCTCCACTGGCTGTCAGACAGTACAAGAAGATTTGGCATGGCAGCTGGTGATAGGCTGAGAGCCTATCCCTGACCACCAATTACAGGTGATAGTCTGCTACTGGCTGCTAATTGCAACAGTACATGTTGACAGCATCAGCTGACTCTCAGCCTTTCACCTTCCTGTGCTGTATGGCAGCCATAGGAAAACTGAGGGATGCTGTGCTGGCTCCAGGGGTATAACTCCTAATCATTTTTGCTCCAATGGGGCAGGACAGTGCTGATCCACTCCACAATTTAATAGAAATGAACTTGTTATGGGGTGGGATTGTTCTTTTTAAAAAAGTTTAGTTTTTTTCCCCCAAATTTATAAAAGCATGAATCAAAAAAAAAAAAAAAAGGAAAACTATAATGTCAAAAATAAATATACTAATCAGAGGATTTCGTCATTATATAAAATGTTACATAGTTTTACTAATATCTATTTTTAGGTGTGTTTTTATAGTTTCTAAATGTGTCAGGGGTAAATTAACTACATTGTTATTTACACAAGTGTTCCTAATATGTTCTGCTCAGTGCTTCACTAAGAAGCATTTCATTTGTCACAGCCAAGCATTAACAAAGAAGTTTGTGCTGTGTAAATAATAAATAAATAAATAAATACATAAACAGAAAGGATGGGGGGTGACGTCTAGTTCTGCTCATCTGGAAAAACAAGTTTTGCAGGTAAGCAAATGTCGGATTTTAGGCAGTTACGAAGGATATTTTTAAATAACGAATTCTATATATGAATTACAATTTAAACAATGAGAGCAGGGAGAGTATGTCAGTTTGCCCATAACTATGGGGGCGGGGGGTAACCCCTATAAAATAGGAAAATTAAAAATAAAGAACCAGAGGAAGACTCCGAGGATAAGGCAATCAAGTCCACACGAGTCTGCCCTCTAAAGGGAGAGAAGCAACCCAAAAAATAAAGCAAAAATTAGTTAATAAGTGTATAGAAGTTAAAATCCAATGATAGCTGATCCAAAACACATACTAGCTACCATGAAGACAGGGGCCTAAACATAAAAGTTGCTGAGAACGAGGGGGGAGGGAAAACAGGAGGTCAAAATAAATAACCTAACTGCAAATAGCAGGTACAGAGTGGACAGGGGAAGAGATGAGTGAAAAAGGACTAGTATCTGATCACTAAGAAGTGCCCTAATGTGCCGTCGAGGGCACCCCTTTAAAAATCTCCTAACAGGAGCTAATGCTCCAAGAGCCTCCCAAACAATAGAGAAAATCCCTAATCCCACGTACCCTCCAGCAACAAAAAAAAATAATAAAAGTAAATGATGATAAATCAAAATATAAATCTAAGCGCGGTGGCTGGTCCTAATTAGACAAAGTAGCTGCAGCATCATCCCTAATAATATGCCTAACCACTGCTAACAGAAATCCCGACATGCTTTTCGCCAAGTGCTGGCTCTTCCAGGGGAGTTAGGTTATTTATTTTGACCTCCTGTTTTCCCTCTCCCCCTCGTTCTCAACAACCTTTATGTTTAGGCCCCTGTCTTCATGGTAGCTAGTACGTATTTTGGATCAGCTATCATTGGATTTTAACTTCTATACACTTATTAGCTAATTTTGCTTTATTTTCTGGGTTGCTCCTCTCCCTTTAGATTTGTGCCTTGACTGCCTTATCCTCTGAGTCTTCCTCTGGTTCTTTATTTTTTATTTTCCTATATATGCGAAAACAGAGTGGTAAACCGCGCCACAGAGGAATACAAAGTGATTAAAATATAATGTGATTAAAATATATAAAAAAAAAAAAAAAATTAAAAGTATATACATACATACATACAGGATATTCCAATAATATGATGGTGTATATAATCCTTAAACAGAATAAAATAAACAATAATAGTGCAATATATCAAGTAAGTGGAATATATATCCAAAAAAAAAAGAGAACTATTTAAAAGACTAACTCACACTTTGCAAAGCTGCTAAGAGCTCTGCCGTATAACTTTATTAAATAATAAAAAAAATAGAATAAAAACTATGTATAAAAAAAGTCAGCTTCCAGTCTCTCTCATTAACTTAACGTGTTTCGCCCGGGTTTGGGCTTCTTCAGAGTTACAGGTTTTTTTTCCTAATCCCTCTGGTTTCCTACCTGTTCCTGATGCACTTTGGATCCTGCTATATCCCTTGTTGGGGATCATACCACCACAAGCTATCAACACCAGAGCAAGTCATTGCTCTGGAATCTGTAAGTAAGATACCTTTCTTTTATTACAAGTATTTAGTACATACTGTACCATTGGATTTTCTTTGTGTTTTTGTTTTCATACATATACACGGCTGTGGCGAATTGGATATTACATCCCACTATTATCCTTATATCCCAGACGGGGATTGTACCGTCCAGGCGCTATACGGCAGAGCTCTTAGCAGCTCTGCAAAGTGTGAGTTAGTCTTTTAAATAGTTCTCCTTTATGGATATATATTGCACTATTATTGTTTATATTTTATTCTGTTTAAGGGTTATATACACCATCATATTACTGGAATATCCCATTATATACCATATATGTATATACCATTTTTTATATTTTTAATCACTTTGTATTCCTCTGTGGCGCAGTTTACCACTCTGTTTTCGCACTTTTTGGTTCTGATTGGTATTAGGAATCCTGGTATTGGAATCTATTTTCCTATATATGCATTACAAAACCTAGAAATGCATTTTAATATATGCAATGGTATTCAATAGCTCAGACATTCTCCAACGTCTTTAATATTATATAGACCTTAGTCATTTCTTAACTTTTCTTTTAGAGATTCCATAATGAACAGAGCATATTTCCTTAAAGGGACACTTTCACTATCCGGGGACCTATTTGCAAAGACCCCTGATAGTGACATTGCCGCTGGGGGTCCGGTGGCCATGGGTCAGGGAAAGGCACCACCATCTTCTTCCAGCAGATCCTCTTCAACTCCTAGCCAGCTGATAACACTGCTGTAATCCGCGCATGCACAACAGTCAAGATTGCAGGATCCTCCACAGATAAAGGCAATTGCAGGGGGGGACTGACACTTCTAGACAGCAGTACCTCCGCTCAATGTCTAGAAGCGTCAGGCGTAGGAAATATACTAAGACAAAGTAGTCCACGTGGTGTACAGGCATTCCATCACATACCCAGCATTATTCTATAGTTTACATATTGCATGTCCAGACATTCCAAAGGACATCCAGCATTATTCTTTACCGTCCAGACGTCCAAAAGACATTCAGCATTATCCTATAAATGTCCAGACATTCAGCATTATCCTATAAATGTCCAGACATTCAGCATTATCCTATAAATGGCCAGACATGTCACAAGACATCAATATCTTATAGTGTTTAGAAATGCCACAAAGCATACATCATTATCTATAGACATTACACAATATATCCATACTGCTTAGTCAGCGTCTTCGGATTGAACATAACCCAGTGTCCAGTGGGTGCGTCATTCTACACTATTCATACCATGGTGTGATGCTGGAGAGGCAAGGAAGGGGTTAATAGCAAAGCATCATGGTACCTGCCTTTGGGTTGGGCTTCATGTACCCACCATGCCAAATTCCTCTAAACTCCAGTAAACAGGGCAGGTGTGAGCCAGCCCCATGCTACAGACACCGAGAGACCCCCCAGCCCAGTAACTATAACCCACTCTCCACTACCAGCACTCATTTCAAACACACAGAGCCCTCCCATACCTGCAGACAGGGTCACAATGTATCAATCACCAAATCCCCCCCGACCCTCACCCATGGGTTAATAACAAGTACCCCCAGACACCCCGTGCCCCCCACCCCTGGCAGTCAGTGTCTGTGTGCCAGGACTCCTCCTTACCTTTATTATTCATTGCAGCAGGTCTCGCTGATGTTGCAGTGTCTGTATACTGTCAGTGTTGTTGTAGGTGATGACTCCACTTCCGCTTCTGTTCACTTCCTTATTGTGTGTTGATTTTTTTTATTTTTTTATATATTTTTTTTTTTTTCCTCTTTACACGTAGATGGCAGCCAGTAAGCCAGCAGATGAGCGCCCCCTGCCTGTACTTTCAGTTTCCATTTATAGCTTGTATAAGTGGGCTGCACAGAGCCTCTACCTCACTAAGCTGCCTCAGGCAGTGACAATTTTCGCAAATTAAAAGTGATATTTTTTTTATTACATTTTAGGTCAAAATAGTCCAACTGGAAAAATTGCATACTTGGATAGAAATTCCCATTTGTCTATTTTGAGTGATTATGAAACATGCTCCCACACCAATAAACTTTTGGTTTCATGCACATGTCACACTTCCCCATGTTTGTTTCCTTGGGGCAATATATAGATTTCCTATGTAAATACAGAGCACACTGCATTCAGCCCATTATGGACAAAGTGCTTTAAAACTAAGTTTCTTAATTTTCCTCCTCATAATATTGATCCTCCCGCTTCACTCTTCCTGCAGGTTGACGGTACCTGCCTAACCCTATCCTTTCAAGCTCGCTGTCTTGGTGCTATTTATGATCCTGACCTCACCTTTGCGCCTCATGTCCAGTATGTTGCTAAAACCTGTCGATTCTAGCTTAAAGGATCACTATAGTGTCAGGAAAACAAATCGGGTTTCCTGACACTATAGTGCCCTGAGGGTGCCCCGACCCTCAGGGTCCCCCTCCCGTGGCGCTGAAGGGATTAAAACCCCCTTAAGTTACTCACCTTATTCCACCGCCAGGCTCCCATACCTCTCCTCCCCTCTACTGACGTCAGCGGCAGTGCTTCGCGCACATTCAAAGTGTCCATAGGAAAGCCTTTCTCAATGCTTTCCTATGGACGCTCTGCGTGATGGAGGCAGATCCGCCTCTAGTGGCTATCTGGAAGACAGCCACTAGAGGCTGACTTAACCCCAAATGTAAACATAGCAGTTTCTCTGAAACTGCTACGTTTCCAATGGGCAGGGTTAACCCTAGAGGGACCTGGCACCCAGACCACTTTATTGAGCTGAAGTGGTCTGGGTGACTATAGTGTCCCATTAAAAACATTGCACGTATCCACCCCTTTCTTATGTTAGATGCTGCCAAGGAGCTTGTTCATGCTCTAGTAATCTCTTGCATGGATTACTGTAACTCTCTCCTAATTGGTCTCCCCAGAAGCCGTACTGCCCTCCCTACAATCTGTGATGAATGCTGCTGCCAGGCTGATCTTTCTCTCCTCTCACACCTCACCCCTCTGTCATTCCTTACACTGGCTTCCTGTACCCTACAGGTGCCAATTTAAAATACGAACCCTTACCTATAAAGCTCTAACCAACTCTAGCCCCTCTTACATTTCTTCACTGATTCATAGGTATGCCTCCTCTCCGCTCTACTGGTAACCTTCTCCTGTCTGCTGCTCGCACCCTTACTGCAAATTCACGCCTGCAAAACTTATCACGGGTGGATCCTTTCTTTTGGAACAGCCTGCCTACTCCTGTCAGACTCTCCCCTAGTCTTCAATCCTTTAAGAAGTCCCTCACAACCCATCTTGTCAGGGTTGCTTATGGCATGCAAGAGTAACTTCTATCTCTCAAACCTTCCTCTTGCTCTCTCCTAAAGGGCCATGCTCCACTCTCACCTCCAGTTCCGCTACTTTCCAACCATGTCTATTTGCGGGCTCCCTCAATACCCTTTTTATTGTGTTTTTATACCCCACCTCCTCTAGATTGTAAGCACATTTGAGCAAGGTCCTCAACTACCTATTGTTCCTGTTACACTTTGTTATTGTCTCATTTGGTGAATTTCCCTTTTATTGTAAAGCACTGTATAATAAGCTGGCGCTATATAAATGCCAATAATAATAACAATAAAAAGCACTCTACATATCCTGAGCAGGGTTGACTCCTTTTTTAGAAATGGGTCTGCTCCTTTTTTGGGGCAGGCATGCCCCTATGGGTATTGCAAGGTATACAAGCCCTGTCACTGGCATACAACCTATAGGTCTGTCCAGAGTCATAACCAGAAACCAGCGAGCCTCAGAGCAAAAATTAACCAAACCCAGCCCATCCATGTGTCTCATTCAGCCCCCACCCCTCCCAAGCCCACGCATATGTCTCATTCCTCCCTTCCATGTTTCTCAATTCCGTCCCCCAGTCTCTTCCATTTGTTAATTCCTCCCACTCCAGTCCCTTCCATGTGTCACTTTCCCCACTAGTCCCTAATTTTGTATGTCAATTCCTTCCCTCAGTCTCTTCCATGTGTCTCAACCCCCCCAGTTCCTTCCATGAGTCTCAATTCCCACAGATCCCTCCCACGTGCCTCAATTCACTCCCAGTCCTTCCCATGTGTCTCAATTCCACACCATCACTTCTATGTGTCTCAACCCCTCCTCCATGTATCAGTTTCCTTCCAGTCCCCTCCATGTGTCTCAACTGCCCGCGTCCCTTCCATGAGTAATTTTCCATCCAGTCCTTTCTATGTGTCAATTTACCCCCAGTCCATTCCATGTGTCATTTCCTCCCCTAGTCCCTTTCATGTGTCTCAATCCCGCCCCAATCTCTCCATGTGTTTAATTCCTCCTTTTTATGTGTCTGAATCACCCCCAGTCCCTTTCATGTGTCAATTTCACCAATTTTCCCCACCCCAGTCCCTTCCATGTGTCACTTTCCGCCTGGTCCCTACATATGTCTTAATTCCTTCCCCAAGTCCCTTTCATGTGTCAATTACCCCCCCAGTCTCCTCCATGAGTTAATTTCCGCCTGTCCCTTCCATGTGTCTCAATTCCCCCCATCCCTTCCATGTGTTCCTTTTCCGCCAGTCCCTTCTGTAACGGATCGCCTGGCACCCCGACTGGGTACCTCCGTTAAAGGATGCTCCTAGCACTTCCTGAGGACTCCAAGCACTGCAGCAGACACCAAAACCACCGAACCGTAGGAGCATATGAATGCTCTCAAGCATTGAATGCTGTAGACAGTTGAATAGGAACCATACGAATAGGTTTACTCTCCTAGCAGTCAAACTGGAACAGCATACAATAAATCCTTCCCCCAATAATGAGACGACACTTCACTTTGAGGGTTAAAACAGGAACTCCCTGTACTGTCACATACAGTCTCTTTTATTCCCAATCCACAAACATAGTACAGCCCACAGGGCGTTACAAAACAACCAATCACATCACAGTTACATCCCACATATTCCCTCCCCTTATCCTGAGAGGAAACTCAATTATACATACAGTTAAAACATACTTTCTACCCAACTTTCATAACTCCAAAACCATACATCACATTCACATAAAATTACATATTCACAATCAATCCATTCAGGGGAACAACATATTCAAAAATGGCACAAATCAGACAAGGGGTTCAAAAGTTAGTAAAAAGTCCTTTGTGACTAAATGAAGCATGGCTTTCTGGCCCAAACCAGTTTCAGAGTCTTCTATCCTGGAGATAAGTAATTCAATTATCTCCCAGGACAGACACAAGACTCCATTAAGCACATGGTTGCAAAAAGACACAAAACACTTTAAAATACATAAAGTCACATTTACACATAACACACAGACATTTCACATATCCCCAGATAGCTGGGATCTGAGCGCACATTATTAGTGAATGGCGCTCAGATCCTATTCACACAGTTCAATTGCCATGGAGCCGAAGTCTTTAACTACACGAATGGGCTCCATGGCATAGCTATCTGGGTTAACACATTCACATAAAGTCTGGTCCATAGTCCAAAGGCAAGAGGCGGGCAAGCAGCCCCCTCCAAAGACACGTGGCGAGGCCGGTTTCGCCACATTTCTCCCCTTTACCATCCAGACTAACAGGGTATCTGACCTCCTGCCGGTCAGTGCCCTGGTTAGTCCAGCAACCCACCCACGAAGCACAAACAGCAATACAGCCCACCCACAATAACTGGTTACTACACCTGGATAAAATAGCAACTTGTCCATGTCCAGGTGCCTCACCACGGCTGTGCGGGGGCTGGTAGACTGCCTTGGTGGGTTGCTGAGTGGGCAGAGACCAGCGGTACTCTGCCTGGGTGCCAGCGCTACCACTGAAGTAGCCTGGTTGGAGCCTGGTTGTGGGAGGGGGAGACCGACTGTCTCCCCTCTGGATACACTGCTCGGTGGCTGGGGGACAGGACCAACCGTCCCTACTCCTGGTGCTGCAAGTGCAGAGACTACAGTCCCATCTGCATAGTTGTGGGGCTTAACATCTCCCCTTGGTGGGTTAGGCTGCCGCTGGAGAGAGGGTGTAACAAGCTCCTCTCTCTGAACTGTAGACTGCCGCTGGGGAGAGGGGGTAACCTGCTCCTCTCCCTGACACTCTCTTTGCTGGTGGAGAGGGGGACCAACTGTCTCCCCTTTCAATATTTTGTCCTGCGGCTGGGGTGCGAGACAGACGGTCTCTGCTTCCTGGGGTACACACTGCCGCTGGGGAGGAAGGACAGCACCTTCAGCTCCCTGGCGTACACACTGCCGCTGGGGAGGAAGGACGCCACCTTCTGCTCCCTGGGATACACACTGCCGCTGGGGAGGAAGGACGACCCCTTCGGCTCCCTGGGACTCACACTGCCGCTGGAGATCTGGGCCGACCGCCCAGCATCCCTGTAGGGCCGGTAGAGAGACCGCCATCCCATCTCTACCTGCCATCTGTGGGTCTTCCCAGGACCAGTCTGTGAGGTCCCTCAACATTTGCGAGTAAGGACCACCTGCTTCCGCACCTGGCAACTCCGGCTGCTGCTGGGGATCTGGGCCGGTCCCATCTCCACCTGCCTGTTGTGGTTCCTCACAGGACCAGTCTATGAGGACCCCTACTTCGGGTTCCTGCGGCCGCCTCAGGGGGAGACGGCTAGCCTCCTCGGATGCAGCCTCTACTCGGCTGCTGTAACACTCCTTCCGCTGAGCATACTCTCTCTCTTTCGCCAGCCGGAATTCTCGGGCCAGCCTTGTGTTTCGCTCGGCCGTGACCTGGTTCCAGATCACCCGGCGTACCTCCATGGGTAAATCATCCCCATACTGGGCCACTCGCTGCCTCACCTCGGCCATCCAATCATCGCCAGAGCATTCCATACT